AAAAAAAAAAAAAAAAAAAAAAAAAAAAAAAAAAAAAAAAAAAAAAAAAGAAAAGGGAGAAACGCAGCAGCATACCTTTTGCTGCAGGTAGTCAGGCCAAAGACAGAAGCCAGGCCAGCTGCGCCCCACAAAGGGGGTGCCTTCACGCTGAGCCCACAGCAGCAGCAGCAGCAGCAGCAGCAGCAGCAGCAGCAGCAGCAGCAGGGGGAGAAGCAACAATAGCAGCAGCAACAGAAAATGCAGCAGCAACAGCCGCAGCAAAAGCAGAAACAGCAGCAACAGCAACAACAGCAACAGCAACGGCAGCGGGAACAACAGACACAGCAGCAGCAGCAGCAGCAGCAGCAGCAACAGCAGCAGCAGCAACAGCAGCAGAATATAGAGGGGGTGAAGGGGCTCGTGTTACTGTGGCTGTGAAACAAAGAGGGAGACAAAAAAAAAAAAAAGAAAAAAAAAAGAAAAAAAAAGAAAAAAAAAGAAAAAAAAGAAAGAAAAAAAAAGAAGACAAAGAATAAAATAAAAAGACGGAGACAGAAGAGAGACAAATAAAGAGAACAATAAAAATAAAAATAAAAAAACACAAAGACAAGAGAAATAAACAAAGAGAAGAAAAAAAATAAAAATAAAAAACAAAGACAAAAGAAATAAATAAAGAAAAGAAAAAAAATAAAACAAAGACACAAGCAAGACAGCAAGGAGAGACAAATAAACAAAAGAAGAAAAATAAAAACAAAAAAAACCAAAGACAAAAGAAAAAACAAAAAAAAATAAAAAAAATAAAAAAAAAACCAAAGACAAAAAAAAGCAAACAAAGAGAGGAAAAATAAAAACAAAAATAACCCAAAGACAAACGAGAAAAAACAGAAAAAAGAAGAAAAATAAAAATAAAAAACAAAGACAAAGACAAAAGAGAAAAAAAAATAAAATAAAATAAAAAAGCTACATTGATCACAACAGCAAGTTGCTGCTGCGCTGCTTCCTCGAACGGCTTGTAGCCCATCTCTATACGCAGGTGGGGGTCCACCAGGAGGACCTGAGCAGCAGCAGCAGCAGCAGCAGCAGCAGATGCAGCAGCAGCAGCAGCAGCACATGCAGCAGATGGAGCAGATGCAGCACAGCAGCAGCAGCAGCAGCATCCACAGCAGCCAACTTCGTCTCAGCAGGCACCACCAGCCGCAGCAGCAGCAGCAACAGCAGCAGCAGCATATCCAGCAGCAGCAGCAGCATCAGCATAAGGAGCAGCAGCAACAGCAGCATGAGCAGCATCAGCAGCAGCAGCAGCAGCAGCAGCAGCAGGAGGAGGAGGAGACTGAATCTCACAAGCATTCTTTGTTGTTTATTTAGTTGTGTAGATATTTTATATAAATTAAATTTATTTTTATCGGCAGCAAAATACTTGCATTGGGGTGTATAGTCAGTGTCTAGCCACAAAGCATCAAAAGGAACAGCAGCACAGTCCAGGCCCTTCATTGCTGCTAGCGCAGCACCCTGCAGCAGCAGCAGCAGCAGCAGCAGCAGCAGCAGCAGCAGAAGCAGCAGCAGCAAAAAGTATAGAAACAGCAGGAGGAAAAGCAGCAGCAGCAGGAACAGCAGCAGCAGCAGCAGCAGGAACAGCAACAAAGGGAGAAGAAGAGCAAACTCAGAGG